TGACAGAGCTGCTTTCCCAGCAAGATCCAAAACAGAGGAAATAGCAACCTGAGCTTTCTGAAATAAATGTTGGCAGAGGGTGGGAGCCTTCTCTCCAAAGTTTCAGAATGGGCAATTCCTTTTCTTAGTCACTGCTTCATTCCAAGTAACGCCCTTCTATTCCCAGCTGTACAGCCCTGTCTGGCACCTAGCAGTGACTGCTGTTTTCAGGACAGCCGGTGTTACTGTGAGCACTTAATGCAGCAGTGCTACCACAAAAAGTTCCCGTTCTCATCCTGTGGCCTGTTCCTTACGTGGCATCCAGAAAAAGGGAAAACTGAGCAGTCACTGCATTCATTAGTTTGGGGTGGGCCGAGCCCTCACTGCCACCCTTCCGTTATGCTGCTGCAGATAAAATAGGTCATAATTAAAACACTGGATTTTTTTTTTTTAATAAACGAGTGTGTAAAGATTCTCTGCCTGAAATGATTAACTAATGTGAGGAATCTAACTTAATTGACGAGCTAATAGGTTGCAGCTGAGGCTCTGCAGCGTTTCTGCTGTGGTATGCTAATTTGTCTGGCTTATATCTAAGCAATCCCTCTGGATGCAGTTGACCTCAATGCAGTGTTCATATGATTAGGGGGGTTCAGTTTTAAACGTTGCATCAGTTTGGTGACACGGTATCTCCACACATAAGAAAGATATAACACAATGTATGCTGTGTATAGTTACTGAGTTTAGGGATGGGATTCGGTATGCGTGCTCTTTTCTTGTGCTTCTCTAAATCCAACTGGATAAATCAAAATCATAGTAGCGTGGGGTATTGGGGGTTTTTAATTTGTCTTTGAGAAAGATAACAAGCAATCCTCCACACCTAACTATCTAATTGAAGGCAAGTATACCGGTTAAACTGTGTGTTTTATAAATTCATGCATTATTTCGCTGTGTGTTTAATGATGATGCTATTTATTTTATAAAACAACAACAAAACTGCTTTATCAGCTGCCTTGCCATGTCCTTTTTTCCTTTCATAGCCGTACGTGTGCATGTCAAGGACTTGATCCCGAAACTTGTGGAGCATCATTCTCATTTGGCTGTTCATGGAGTATGTATTTCAATGGCTGTAAATTTGCCAGAAGCAAAAACCCCCGGAAATTTAGGCTTCTGACTGATGACTCCAAACAAGTAAGATTTATATATATATATGTGTGTGTATATATATATAGTTGTATATATTTGTATATTGTTTTGTTTTCCTCTAGTATTCACTCAGATTATTTCCACTACAAGAAGTGGAATCTACAGATATTCGCCCTCTTTCTCACACGCATAACCTACATGTAGCCAACTAAATGTTCTGTAACAGCAGTGTTTATATTCTTTTTCACTGCATGAAAATTCAGTGTCTCCTATTATGCATTTCAGTATCAGCAATAGTCACAGGCCTTGCCTAGCCTCTATGCAGACCCATTACAATGGAAGGGCACTACAATAGCTCCATCCTGGGTGATGGAAATGCCCTCCCCAAGACTGCAGGCTGTGTTGGCGGCTGCCCCTCCTGCCTGTCAGGTAAACAAGAGCACTCTGAGCTGCAGTCAGACACAGAGCCTGGCACCAGCTTTGCAGAGGCCTCTGGAAGTGATGCCTGGCTACTGAGAGCTGTTTGTTTCCAGCTACTTTGTCCATTTGGAGGCTTTGTGCCCCAGTGTATAGAAACAGCCACCTGAAAGAGGAGATTTCCTATCAGCTAACCAGGCATTTTCCAGGTGTCTGATCTACCTATTCTTATTTCTCCCTTTTCTCTGGGAAGTTTTAAAGCCTCCTTGCAGCTAAGAGAGGCTGAGGGATGTACCATGACTGTAGGTTGCCTGTGAGGGCAGCACATGCACCATTAGGGTACCCCTGTGCCGCAGCCTTCTGCCCTCCGTGAGGGCCTTGGGCATTTCCAAGCTGCAGAGGTTGGCAGTGCATCACAAATAAGTGAATTTAAATAACTCCTCTTCATTTGGTTTTGTTGTTAATTTTAGTAGCAGATAATTCTTTCAGCTAAATATCGGATATTGATGATTTTGCAGATGACATAAAACTAGGAGGTATAGCAAATTAAGAAGATAGATTTGAAGTCCAGAAAGATTTGGATCGTTTGATCATTTGAGGCACTGGATGGAGTGAGATGAGGTTAAGGGTGTAATACACCTAGGTAAGAATAGTACATAGGATAGATAATTAAGGATGTATTTACCTTCAGTGCAATTCAGAATGTGTGGTAGCAATCCCCAGTTAAAATAACTGGGTATAGTATGGTTTTAAAGTATAGTTTTGTTTTATAATGTAGCATCACAACGAAAAATGTCAAAGTGTACTTTTACATTTGTGTACATGGACATCTACAGCATATACAGAGATGTTTTTGTAAAACAAGCTGTTATTTTTTTGCCACTGCACAGTGTACAAACCTGAAGCTGCAGTTGTCTCCAAAAGCCTGGCCCAGAATTTAGGGATCATCTTTGTGTAAATAAGAGCTTAGCTGCTACACCACTGTGGAAGCCCATCTCGTTAGTACCATGTTTAAAAGGTTTTTCGCAAGGAACTGAGTATGTCTTCCAGATCTAGTAGGTGTTTTCCTGAAGTCTTGAGGGTTTTGCACCTTCAAAGAATGAAATACAAAATATTCCTGATAAGAGTGCTGTTGCAATCGGAGACATCTTTCCTAAGGAGCTGAAAGTAACGTTAAATGCCGTTGTCAGTTACTCATCAGTTAAAAAGGAACACGAAAGCAGAAAGCCAGAATTTCTTTAGCAGGAACTGTATTGGTAGAAATTAAGCTTCTGTTTTTTTTTTTTTTTTTTTTTTTAAAAAAGCATCATACTTGGTGTTCTGTCTCCTTGTGGTGATTTTTTTTCTCTTTTATGGACGTTACTTTTCAATTTTGTGTGGAACATACCTGTTTCCTTGAATTGTCCATGTATGTGAAGGCAAAAATAATGCAGGAAGTAATTCATTGTGTTCTGGGGCTTCCATACCCTAGCACGTGTCCTGCATTGTTACTTGGTTTACTTGCATTTATCAGTTCTGATAACTTTAGTCTATTTGCAGCTAGTGACAAAAGATAGTAGCAAAGAAGACAGATTAATACAATGTAAGATAGAGGTGAACTTTCTAGCTTTGCTGACTTGTGTCAGTCATCTCTAAACTGGATTAGAGTCTTTTAAACTACATTACCGTTCTCTGAATGTTGTCTTTACCTGCAGGAGGAACTGCTTGAAAATAATTTGCAAACGTTAGCTACTGATGTGGCTCCAGTTTATAAAAAACTTGCTCCTGAGGCGTTTCAGAACCAGGTAGGTCTGTGATATTCAGATAATGCAAGAGTAACTCTAAATAATCAGCTTAGTTAAGCTGAAACTCCAAACTTTTGTACAAAGCCACAGAGCTCACAGATGGGGTGAGTCCTGTGGATTTATTTAGTTTTAAAACACTTTGTCAGGCTGACTTCAGCTGATGGTCAGTTAGCTGCCCTAACTATGCGCTGGTAAAATTCTTACAAATAATACTGGTCAGATGCATTAGGCTCTGAGCTGATTATCTTGCTGGCATCCAGTAATAAGTAGGCGTCACATGTTTCAATGGAAACAAGGTACTTCCTCCTAATTTTTACTGATTTGTTATTCAGTCAGAAATGTAGTTGGGCTCACTGGGTGCTAAGTCACTCCCTGACAGTCCTAAGTACCTGTAGTTTATTTTACCTTAGGTGGAAAACGAGCACATGGGCCCAGACTGCCGGCTGGGGTGCAAGGACGGCCGGCCTTTCTCGGGGGTCACAGCTTGCATAGATTTCTGTGCCCACGCCCACAAGGACACACACAACATGCACAACGGGAGCACGGTGGTACGTACAGGCAATTTTCTTATTTGTGCTGCTTACTACTGAGATTTCAAAATGCCGCTTGATTTAGTGGATACATTTTTTAGTTGCATGTTGCCAGTTATAAATTTCCATGTTATTTGCATGTATTTATTCTCATTTAGTCTGCAGCAGACACAGGCTCATGTTGTTGTAGGCCAGCTAAAGAAAGGCATGGGAGCGAGCCTTCCTACAACGCACCTTTGTTTCTTTGAGACACACAAGCCTGTTGGGGAGGGTTGGCCACAAGACAGATAAGCTCTTCAGAATAAAGGTCTAATGTTCAAGGTCAAATAATGAAGTCATCTACCCAGAGAGTTGTATAGATGTCTGTAGAAGAGCTTATACAAATAATCTCACTATTAAATTACCTCCTCAACATGAGAATTCATCAACCTCTCATATAGTTACACTGTGTGCTTATCAGGCTTCCTATCAGTATAATTACTAGTCAGAAGTTAAACAGACTCATGTTATGGAGTAGTATGAAACCATGGGGTAGTTGATGAAGGTAGGTGACTTACCTTTGAAGTTACATCCAATTATTCCAATGTGAAAGAAAAATCTACATTAGTCATGTTATTCTTGGTATGGTCATTGCAGCAAAAGCATTATTGAATTGCAAGGGAGAAAATCAGACAGGAATTACTTAGTTAAATCATCTTTCAGAAAATGAGAATCGTGAACTGAAAAAAGCCTGAACAAAGAAGAGGTGAAATAAGACTGACCTGTCCTTTTCTTTAAGTAGCCAAGTGTGGTTTGAAATTGTTAGAACATAAATTGTAACTTTTGGATGCAACATATTCTCTTTATTTAGTTTTGACATCTATTTATTGAAACATGCTTCTAACTAAAGGCTATATATAAATAGTTGTAAGTATTAATACATCCCAAATTGGTACTTTTTGACAGGAAGTTTCAGTTCTACAGTGAGGAAATGAGTGATGCATAGGATATACAGTGTGCTATATAGCTGAGCTGCTGAACATCTTTCCTAATTAGCAAAATCACATCCTGAATTTAGTGGAGTTGTGCTTTGGTGGAAAAATTAACCGTAACTATGAATGTAGTAAAATGAAAATACAGCACCTATAGAGGGGTAAAAGTAACATGTTTACTGAAAGCAGCAAGCACAACTTCTGCTCATGAACAGAATTTCTGAAGAATTCAAACCTGGCTGATTTTACTCAGACGCCGTCTTTTACCGTTCCCCTGAGAACCAGTGATGTGCGTGACGGCAGTAGTCGGGCCAGGGAGCTCCTTGAGCGAATGCAGTTAGACTGCAACTGAGCAACACGCACGCAAAAGCTTTACAGTTAGTAATGGAGGTTGTGGAACGTAAGTATTTCTGCTACCTCAGTGGATTAGCTGCAAAAGATCCTAATTTTTATGCCTGTGTGAATCCATTTAAACCAGAGAAGTGAGGGGGTTTATATTTATATATGACACCCTGGCTAGCTCTATAGGAGGTACATAGATGTTTCATCCTAAGGGGCACATTGCCCTTTTTGCTGTAGGAACTGTAGAAGAAGGAAAGGAAGCAAGATAAATCTATGCCTCCAGGGCAGCTACAGTACAAAATTTATTAATAACAAATGTAAGAAGTCAGCGTCAATCAGTAATCCATCCATGAACAGTTCCTCCCAAAAGAAAAGATCCTAATGCTTAAATTGATGGTTCAGATTATACCAGGCAATGTCACTGTTACTCGTACATAGTCCTGAGGCAGGTACATTTGGGATTCCCTTCTCTAGCCTCCTCAGACTTACACGAGCTTACTCAGTCTGTCCTAGGGCAATAAAAATGCACACACTCTCTCAAAAATTGCAAAGGAAGAGAAAATGAAGTCATTTATATTTGTAATGGTAAGAGAAATGATGCTGCGGGTTTTGTGTGTGCCAACAGGCATCCCCTCAGCTTCCCATCTGCGAGGCAAGGATGAGTATAGGAAATTCGATTGCGTCTTCCAAGTTTGGAAGAGCGTTTTGTCTACTCTGCTGCATCTTGAATTCAAAACATCTGTTCTTGCCCCGTAACGGAAAAGGCAACGTCAATTCTGCGTGGGGTTCACGAGGCCGAGGCACATCAAAGAGCTCTGCAGTCAGGCACTCGGAGCTCTTTGGCCACAGATGCTGCTTTGGCCTTTTCAGGAGGGAATTTCATTCAGTTCATGGGTGCATTTCAATTAAGGGAAAAAAAAGCTCTCACGAAAATGCCGGTTCAGCCATTATGTCCCTAGGCCCAGAGCAGTGAAGGGTATCGATGAGCTGCAGAGCCAGCGCTGCCTCCGGCTCTGCGCATCCTGCGTGGACCGGCTGTGTGCCCTGGAAAAAGGGTTTAGTACAGCAGGATGGGTGGCTTTGCTGTGAAAATCAGGCTTAACCTCGTCCACAATTTTCTCTAGTTTTACTATTGATCAAATTGATCAGCAATAGCTTCTGTAGGGTTTTCTACGGAATATTTTGTATGGATTTCAATATTAATTAATCGCTTCTGCAGCTAATGTTTCACAGTTGCTGGGTTACTCTGCTTCAACTGCAGGCTGCTAGCACATCCGTTGAGCCTCAGTTGTTTTCCCTCTACATTGACTTCTGAATTATCTGCTGTAAATATATTGTAAATATATTATGGGTGATAATTTTCTTGAAAATATACATACTTTTTTTTCTTTTGGTACTTAGGCTGTAGATAAAGTAATTTTCTGTTTAACATACACTTGTACATTTCTCAAAGCTATGTATTTTAATTCAATACTTATGTATTTTGTGTGCTGGAGTGACTCTACCAGCAAACTCAGTTCTGCACATCTGCTATGACTGCCATATACCATGCTTCCTCTGAACAGTCCTTTGGGCTCTTGTTTTAAGGAGGATATTGGTTTTGTGATGGAGCTGAAACAAGCTGTCTGTCCACTGATACAAGCTGTGGTTTTTTTTGTTTTGTTTTGTTTTTTGTTTTTTTTCCTCCCCTCTACTACTGCATTTTCCAATGGGTCAAGCACTGTAAGAAAAGCTAATATACTTTTGCCTTATTAGAAATCAGATGAAAAGACTGTTAGGAGTAGTCAGCTTTTGAGAGAAAATCTCTGACCTTCTCAAAAAGAATAAACGGCTGGTACGAGATGAGGTTTTCCCGTGCGTGTCTGGAAGGCGGGAAAGCTCACGGGTTGACGATTGCCAAGGCAGCCGTCACAGCGTTTCTAGTGAGAGCACGGCAGCAAGGTGCCCGCGTGCTGACGTTGTTTGTCACTGAATTCAGGGGGCTGGGGCTTGCTAGGAGAAGGGGCACCGCGGACCTGTGCTCTGCTGGTCTCTCTCTTCCCCCCTTCCCGAGTAACTCAGCATCTGCTGGCAGATTGAGCCCTGCAGGCACCTCATCACTGTGGAGGCTGGGCCTTCTCGGAGCATTTTGGGGCATTTAGGTGTGGGGGGAGAGGGCCGCAAGGGGCGCGCGGAGCCATGCGGGGACAGGGTCTTCCAGGGGGCTCTGCCTGCTGCTCACGGAACAACTTGTTGTTTTTTCCAACCCTCCTCGTAGTGCCAAGGCTGCCTGTGGAGGTAAGTGCGCATGGAGCAAGCACACAGTGAGTGCTGCTCGTTGGCTTCCACTGGCCCCTCCGCATTGCCAAGAGCCCTTCTTTGATCCTCTTCAAAATGCCACCTGAAAAGCTCTTCTCCTTGCTCTGTGCCCCTTAAATTTTCTCCTCTTGCTGCTTTGCAACTGCCAAGCTTTGCATACAGCTATATATAAGTCCCTCACTACCTTATTTATTTAGGACTTTTAGTTTGTGATTCTGTAATTATACTATCCCAGAAATAATTTTGTGATGCCTTTGTGTGAAATCTATGCTGTAAAATAAAATTAGCTTGTTTTCCTAGATTATATCGTTGTTCTTCCCTGGAATGTTAGGCATGGTGACAGGAGCCTGGAAATGGGATTAACCGTTTCATGACTAGCATCACGTGCAGCCTGCACAGTGATGGGAAGATAACATGCCCGTCTAGGAAGTACCGCTCTATCGTGGGATGACACCGAAATTGCTTTGTTTGTAGCTAGTAATTAACTAAGCCATACCTTAACTAAGCCATGATACCAACACATGGTCTTCTAGTAATGTAATTTCTCTTGGGGAGAACTAGAAGCCTCTTCTGAATGTAATCAATAAAACCATTAACGGGATGATTTTTCATACACGTGATCATAATGTAAATCCCTTGGAAAGCACAAGGTGAAACATGATCAATGTTGTCTGCTCTGTTTTGTCCCTAGCAAACAAGCAAGCTGATGTTTTTAGGTCTTGTTTTAAGGTGAATGCTTAATGTTAATAATGGCCGGACCCCTAGAAGGTCTGAAAATCATAAGTGCTGTAAAGGTCCAGCAGTGATTTGGAAATGTTAAAAGAATTAATAAAGGCGAAAGTCTTGATGTTTATTCACTTTTCTGATGTGTCCTTATCAAACCACATCTAAGCAGCTTCCTTCTCTCAGCTACAGTCTCTTACAGCAATGTATAATTTCGTAAGATAAAGTAGGTCAGTGGCCTGAGAGACACCAAACTGAGCCTTGTGATTTCGTTACAGCAGGCAGAACTGGGGAAGAGTGTTCGTTTTTGAAAAGTGTATTTAGAGAGACAGCTGGAGTTGAGATTTACTTATAATATAGAGCAACTATATTGTGAATAACTCCATTTATGTTTTTCCCAGCTGCCAAAAGAGAGAGGGGTGGAAAAAAACAGTCCCACGCTTCAGGAAACTTCTTGCTTAACCCAATGTTTTTTTATTATTTCTTAAAACTTAACCTGTGCATCAAATATATTAAAAACATGCACAGAGAAAGAAATCCAATTTTTAGGAATTCCCAGTATATTTCCAGATGAAATTACTTACTGAGTTTGAAATATATTTGTAGATAGTATGAGTTGACCCAAAGTTGCATTCTTCCTGAACAAAGAATCTGTCCAAGATAAATGCCTAGACTTTATTCTTCAGATACCAGTTTGTTTTCTCTGCAGTGTAAATCAGACGAAGTCTTTGTCAGATGTTTCCATCTGAAATATGTATAGCAATGAGATCATAAAATACGAGACAGCAGTAAGTCCAGGTGAACGCCTGAATACGCAAGTAGTTGCTGTATTCTCGGTATGTGGTTGCATTTGTAAATGTTTCTGCACTTGCCAGGTCTGCACGTTAACGAAGGAAGATAACCGGAGAGTGGGGGTGATTCCAAGTGATGAGCAGCTCCATGTGTTACCTCTCTACAAAATTTCACAAACGGATGAATTTGGCACTGAAGAGGGGCTGGAAGCCAAGATAAAGGCTGGGGCGATACAGGTGCTGACAGCTTTTCCCCGAGAAGTGCGAATGTTAGCTGAGCCTCTCAGAGCTACCAAGAAAAAGAAACCTGACACAAGGAGGACCCCGTCCGAAAAGCAGCTGTTAATAGATAAAAAATATTCCACGCCACTGAAGCTGAAAACTGAAGCTCCAGAAAATCTTAGCAACACGTTGCATTGTTTAGGTGAGTGGTGTCTTTATTCCAGCAGTCACTTATGACACTGTATTGTGTTTTATCCATCTAAAGGGAAGGAAAAACTCCTCGTTATTCCTTCTTATGAAATATTTGCAATTTCTGCTTTCCAGGAGCTAATGAAGAAGACACTTCTTCATTATTCTCTGTCAGAACAGGAGAAAACAGATGATCACCCAACATAAGTTCATGTTAGGTTGATAACAGCAGATAATGATATTGCTCTAATGAGATATTTTCAAGTGCCCTTCCCCTAATAATAAATAGTGGTAATAAGAGGATATTGAAATATTATTGTAGGAGTATTTCTGTAAATAGCAGGCTTGAATTTCTACCATTTGAAAGTACAAGAACTGAATTATCCGCTTTGAAAGGTAAGGGCTTTCTGAGAAACTGCAAGTCAACTATGTATACCACAGAACTGTATAATGAGACAATTTTCTTCAATTCTTCAGCGTCATGGATATCGCTGCAAAGCAGGTGATTTGCAGAAAGCAGGTTTCTGTCTAATAAGATGGTAAGATAAATTCTCCCTTGAAGTATTTTAGGTGAGGAGGAGAAAGGTGGAATGTGAGAGCAGCCAGCTCAGGTGCGCCGTGCTGCTCCAGACCAGGATGGCGCTGGTGCCACGTGGGAACGGTCATTGCTTAGCTGGGCCACACAGCGGTGCTTTAGCTGGCGCTAATGAGACTGTATCTGGGGTTGCGTTTTGGACCATTAATTTCAGAACAGAGGCTAGCACTCATCTGGGAGACTTTGCAGCGATAAAAATGGAAAAGCAGGAAGAGGATCATGAAGCTATGGAATAAAAACTAGGAGGAGAGAGGAGAAAATGAATTAATGAAATTAAAACGTAACTGCGTGTCTTTTGGAAAGAGTAGAGGAAAATTAACCAGTCAGAACGCCATGATGTTTAATTTTACTTTATGAGAGATATCCAGATACATGTGATAGATTAAAGAGAAGAAATGATTTTAAAATTCAAGACTGTCTGCATTTTAGGAAAAAATATTGCAATACTGCCAGGAAAAAAAAATGTCTGAAATGTATTTTTGTAATTTCAACTCGGTGCTTTGCTTTAACTCGGTAACGGCAGAAGGCAGCAAATAAACTCTGAATACAATAAGATGGAAAAAGAACAGCAAAAGTGGTATTGCTGACACCCGTGGGTAGTGAGGCACTTAGCCTGGATGCAAGTTCTGGGGGCGCCGTGGGGGCTGCGAGGAGGACACGCAGCAGGGGCGCGGAAGGGTGCCCAGGAACTTGCAGTGCACAGGAATCCCGGCGTGCTGAAACCACGCTAGAAAATCCTTTGCAAACATGTACATGTATGTGCACACACATGTGATACATATAGGTACAGATAGATAGAAAATGTTAATTTCTACATAATGTAGTTTCAGCATGTCCAGCTGGGTCTTTAGTTGGCCTGTGCTGACAAGTGCTTGGGAGTAGCGAAGCAGTATCAAATTTTCTCACAAGAGGGCATATAATCACGATTTAAATGTACATTTGTTCCTGTTCTTAGTTTTACAGTGGCTGCTTCAAATCTTTTAGGAGGAAGGCATTGGCTTGTTTGGGTTTTCTTAACTGAATGATTTTATGTTTTGGATTCAATTTAATAGAATAGGATTTTTAGGGTTGATGCAGTTATCTCCTGTGTCTCCATGGTTTCAGTATTTGTGTAGTAACTGTATCACCTGTCCAAAATGTGTTTGCTTTTTTTCTACTGCTGATGAAAGGACTTCTTTTAATACACAGCTATTTATGCATTGTTACTAGCAGGGAGAATACCAGAGAGACCAGTTGTTGTTTTATTCGGTATTACCTGGAGCAGTTAGTCACCTGGAGTTGTGCATCTGTGGGGCAGAGCAGGACGGCGGGCGCAGGCAGCCGTGGGGCGCTGGGGGGCTCTAGCTGAAACCCAGCCCTGCTGCCAGGACCAGAAAGTGGCCAGGGAGCCTAAGAGCCTTTCCAAGAGCACTTGGAACCATTAATGTTAGGCAATTGGATGGGAGATGGGGCCAAATCACAGGTTGCAGGTTTGTAAAAGACTCGCTAATGCAGAGATTTCTTTTTCTTTTTTTTTCTTTTTTTTTTTTTTTTTGGTGAGATGGGCACCGCCTATAAACATACTTTGTCTTCAGTCATGACCTGGGTAAAGCTGCCAAGAGAACCAGCCTAAATTTCAGCAGTCAGTGTAGAATCCTCTGTAAAATCTAGGGCTTCCTGTTGCTTTGGGCATTGCTGAAGGGGAGCAGCCAGCTGGTAAGAAGTGTCTGGGTAGAACAGAGCTGGGTGAATCTGGAGCAAGTACTTAACTTGATTTTGTTTATGCTATTAATCTGTCTGTGAAACACCTTTCTATTATATATACCTATTCTCAGCAATCTGACTGGAAAAGGTTGAGGGAGGGACTAATTCAGCAAGGTAATTAACATACCATTTTAAATCATAAAAATATTCATTAAAATGAAAAATTTATAGTTGTTATTTCTCATATTAGAAAGCTATGAGAATTAGTAATGAATATTCAGAAAATTATGAGAATATTGTGTAAATGTTATATCCTCTTAACTGAGGACAAATACTTACTCTCTGGTGTGCATTTTTCTTTTTAGGGAACAAAACAGATGCTTTAAAACCTGGAATAAAAACGGAGACTTCTGATCACCTCTATGCCATGAAACACACTTCAAACTCTACTAAAAACTGCTCCTTGATTAAACAGTATGCGGCTTCCTCCCCGTTCAAGGTGGATAGTTTACATCCGTGTTCATCGCTGGCACATAAGCCTGACCTAACGGCAGTGACAAATATTCAACAGGATTTTTCCGTTCCCTACGGGTATTTTGAATGCAGCAGTAAGCAACCTCACGTGCCACCTTATCTTAACTGCAAGAACTTGGATGCATCGGTCAAAGACTCTCCTGGACCGCTGCTGCAGGAGCAGCTGAACGGCGAG